GGTATGTAAAATAATTTATTTCGTATTGCACCTTGAATGCCTCTGTAAAAGTACAAATGATACCTTGGAGGCAAAACACTGGAATCACCCTCCATCTCCACGCCTGCACTGCAAGGCCACCGTGAGTCCCTTACACGTTCATGCCAACACCTACTCGGAAAGCTTGCTGCTCTTAATTAGCGTTAGCTACTGTTACTACTACTACTGCCAGTGTTATTACTAATATTACTACTACCAGTGCTACTATCACTAGTATTACTACTACCACTATCACTGCTACCACCACCACTACTGCTGCCGCCATCACTACTACTCTTATTACTACTACCACTGCCACTACTACTATTACTACTACTGCAACCAGTACTACTACTACTTGTACTAATGCCACCACCCCTCTACTACTGCCACCGTTACTACTATTATTACTAATGTCACTGCCACCACTACTACTGCCACTACTATTACTGCTGGTACCACTACTACTAACACCACGATTAGTACTATTACTACCACTACCACCACCACAACCGCTGTTACCACTAATACCACCACTAATGCCGCTATTACTACCACCACTACTACTACCACGAATACCACCACAAATGCCACTATCACTACCACCACGACTACTACTACCACGAATACCACCACAAATGCCACTGTTACTGCCACCATTACTACTACTGCCACTAACACCACCACGACTACTACTACCACTAATACCACCACTAATGCCACTATCACTACCACCACCACTACTACTACCACTAATACCACCACAAATGCCACTATCACTACCACCACGACTACTACTACCATGAATACCACCACAAATGCCACTATCACTACCACCACGACTACTACTGCCACTAATACCACCACTACTATTACAGCTACTGCCACTACTACTATTCCTACCACCACCACTACTGCTATTATTACTGCCACTACCACCACTACCACTATCACTACTGCCATTGCCACTACTGCTGCTACCATTACTACCACCACAGCTACTACTGCCACTAATACCACCACTAATGCCACTATTACTACCACCACAGCTACTACTGCCACTAATACCACCACTAATGCCACTGTTACTACCACCACAGCTACTACTGCCACTAATACCACCACTAATGCCACTGTTACTACCACCACAGCTACTACTGCCCCTAATACCACCACAAATGCCACTGTTACTGCCACCATTACTACTACTGCCACTAACACCACCACGACTACTACTACCACTAATACCACCACTAATGCCACTATTACTACCACCACCACTACTACTACCACAAATATCACCACTAATGCCACTATTACTACCACCATGACTACTACTACCATGAATACCACCACAAATGCCACTATTACTACCACCACGACTACTACTGCCACTAATACCACCACTAATGCCACTATTACTACCACCACGACTACTACTACACTAATACCACCACTAATGCCACTATTACTACCACCACGACTACTACTACCACGAATACCACCACAAATGCCACTGTTACTACCACCACGACTACTACTACCAGCACGACTACCATTGCTGCTACATTACCACAATTACTACTATTGCTACCACTACTACTATTATTACTACTACTATTGCCTCCTACTCCTCCTTCTGCTACTATTATTGCTATTTAATTATAATTAATATAATGGTGAAAAGGATGTCTAGCTCATTGGTTTATGCCCAAAAGAAAATCTCAGTTTTTCTTTTATTTTTTTCCTCAACATTTTCCCAACCATTCTCCACCCTTGTCCTTGGTAACCAGCTCTCTATTCTCTCCTATAAATCCCACTTTAAAAAATAGTCTACATACAAGTAGAATTATGCAGTATTCGTCTATCTGTGACAGGCTTATTTCACCTCCATAGGGTCTTCCAGGTTCATCCATGCTGCTTTCAACAGCAGGATTTCCCTCCTTCTGAAGGCTGAGTAGTCTTCCATTGTGGCATATGCCACATTTATTGATAAATGCCTTTATCTGTTGATAGACACTTGGGTGGATCCCATGTCTTGATATTGTCACTAGTGCTGCCCTGAAGATGGGTGTGCACATCTCTCTTTGACATATTGATTGCCTTTGAATATATAGCCCCAGTAGTGGGACTGCCGGATCAGGAACTCTGATTTCCAATGCAATAGTCCTTAAATGGGGGAGGGGAGTGATTTTGCTTGTCTCCTAAGGGAAATGTGGCAATGTCTGGAGATTTTTTATTTTCTTTTTGATTGTCCACAATGGTGGTTGCTACTGGTACCTAGTGGGTAGAGGCCAGAGATGCTGACCATCACCCTGAAACACACAGACAGCCCGTAGCAGAGAATTATCCAGTCTCGAATGTCCCTAGTGTCAAGGCTGAGAATCACGGAAGTAGGCCAATGCTTGGCCCATAGCTGGGGAGCAACCGGCAGCTCTGCCCTCACCTGCTGAACACCAGCCTGTATTCTCAACTATTTCATATCTGGAGCACAACCCTGCCTCCTGCCTTGAGCTCACTTTTGGAAAACAAAGCAATGAAAATTAATTTGATGCCATCAGACTGCCTTCATGGAAAGGCTCTTGCCACCTGGGAATTCTTACTCCATCTCTGTTTTCCTCCTCCAGAGACCAGCTGGGCCCTGGGAACTGGTCATGTTGGCGCCAGGAGCCCACAGGGCTCAAGTCCCTGGAACCAGCTGGGACATATGACTGCCTGCATGTCAGCCATATAGAAAATCCTGTGATTTGGTCACAAGGGGGCTAGGAATGGAGCAGCCAGGCCATGCCCTCACCCCTCACCCTCTTCAGTGTGCTGAGGGCTGCCTCAAAGGAGAAATAAAATAAAATAAATTAGTGAAAATAAATAAATCCCAGATCTGTCATCATGGGGTGTCAGATGCGCTTCTTCAGAGTCACCTCCCAGGGTTAGGTGAACACTCCTGGGGGAGGGGAGCATGCTGAAGAGTTTCAGGGGAGTGCGGCATCATCCGTCAGCCTCTAGAAACCTCTCTCTCAAGGTTCAAAAGGGATCTCATCCTGAGAGCAACTGCACGAGGAGGAGCTCCTTCCCCTGTATAGATGAGGATATTGGCAACAAGAGCTAATATTCATCACAAGCCACATCTAGTTCTAGAAGGTGTTGCATGTGGGAACTGATTTCACTCTCATCAGTGACCCCAAAAGATTGTAAGGTGTGGCCAACACTCTACGAATGTGTGGGATGACTTGGAATATCCAATTGGTTTCTCCTGACAGTCACCTGAGTTTAAAGCTAATGAAGACATTTGGGGAAAATGTGTTAAGATGAGGTTCACTGATAACGCCTTTTAAAACCCAGCTGAAAAATTTTATTCTCAATCTAAATCTGGGCTCTAGACGTTTATACATGTCAGTTTACACACAGCCTGATCTTTACTGTGACCATTTGGGTGACACCAGGTGACATTAGTGAAAAGTCACAAATACAGACTTTTTAGATGAATTGGCTCTTCCTTTCAAGGGTTGTTAGAGAAGCTGACTTTGATGAGGTGAGAGCACTGTAATTAGCTCAGCAAAATAAACACTCATGTTATTTTGTGTCAATATACTTTTTAAACCTCTGAAGATAGTTGTATAGAGAAGAAAATAATTTGTCCTATTTATTTGCTTTGAGATGTCACTTTCCTAATTTGTAAAATCTAAATTTGTGAGAGAAAGAAAGCCAACTACCTAAGTTAGGCCTCCAAGCCACCGTCCATCCCTTCTGGGCCCTGCCATCTCTTTCTCATTCCATAGTTGAGATCACAAATTGGAGGACTTTCCTCACACTAGGGCCTGTTCTTTGTTTCCCAGAAAAAGAGGCTTTCAACACAGAGTCCCATGTATACCAGGCTGCCAATGAACACTAATCAAATTAAGAAGTGGATGGTTGGGTGGAAATGATTTAAGAAATGCTGGCCAGGTGCCGTGCCCAGCACTTTGGGAGGCTAAGGTGGGTGGATCACGAGGCCAGGAGTTTGAAACCAGCTTTGCCAACATGGTGAAAACCCGTCTCTACTAAAAATACAAAAATTATTTGGGTGTGGTGGTGGGTACCTGTAATCCCAGGTACCTGGGAGGCTGAGCCAGAAGAATTGCTTGAACCTGGGAGATGGAGATTCCTGGGTGAGCCAAGATTGCGCCACTGCACTCCAGTCTGGGTGACAAGAGCAAAATTCCATCTCAAAAAAAAAAAAATAATAATCCTAACTAGGGATTGGGAATTTCACTGGAAACTTAGAAAATTCAACTTATATAAAGTCTATGAATTGTCCATTTTTGTGTCCATACACTCAAATGCTGTAGCTAATTACCCGCTAAACAGTAGAAACTTGGTAAGTGTTCATGTTGAAAGAATGAAATTTGGGTGCTCTTGCACCCTCAAATAAATTAGGTAAAATAGAAATAAAGCTTTATTTGGAACATTAAATCATGAGCATAATTATGAGAAGGCAGTCATTCTGATAACAGTGTCTTGACAAATAGACGCTACATGTCATGAAATATTTTGACTAAAAATGTTCCTTTCAACATTCCTGAGATGAGAAAAATCTACAACATTTCATATTTTTAGCTACCTTGATAAGTTTAGTGTATCCAGGGCTCCTTTCTTACTGGCTAACTGCTGAGTTTCTAATGCTAAGAAATCCTTGATTTTCTAACACAAATATTCAGTATAATGGCTGGTTGTTTGGGAGAAGAAAAATTTAGGATTCAGAAAGAAACAGAGAATGAAATGTTCTAATCAATCAAAAAAGGATTTTATAGGCTTTGACGTCGTCTGGTTTACGAAGCAGTCTGCTAATCTATCTCACGTGAAATGAGTCCTAAGTTGTAGCATTAAAATAGTGGTACTCAGATCTAAAATTATAACTGCAATTATAGGCGGGGGTTTAAAAGAATCGTAGAACCCGTGTAGGATGACAGCACAATAGAATATGCGGAATGAGGTGTGCGGAATCCATCCATTTTGATGCTCGAACAGCAGCAAGCAGCAGCTCAGGAAAGTGCTTAGAGGGCAAATTAGCTTCCAGCAACTGCAGCCGGATTGCATTAGTTGGCACCGAATTAGGCTGACAGGCACAGGATGGAGGCAACTGAGGAGCATGCTGCCATATGGAGGGAAGGATATTCTGTGCACCTGCAAAAGATGAAGTCTGTGAACTTGAGTTCATCACCATAAGAGAAGATTGTGTGGGGGATGAGAAAAGATGAAAAGCATTCTGGACTCCTGGAAAATCTGGAGTCCTCGAGCCTGGTGTCCCACATGAGGTCACTGCACATGCCTGCATCTCAGTGCTTGCATCTGTAAATCAAGAAACAGAGGTACATCATCATTTGGGGTACAGCTGTCTTTGTATAAACCAGTCTGAGCCTGTGGTGCCACATTAAAAATCACGCATTGCAGAAAACAGGGCAGCCACCAGCCCCTGTGACATTGTGTGAATATAGTGATGGATGATTTATTTTTCTACACCCGTCCCTGTGCATTGCTGGAAGACAGGGTCACTGTCTTCTCGATATTGATAGTGACAAAATTGACAACACATCAAATTTTCCTGAACAATAATCTACTACCTACTGCACATGCAAAATCTGAGAAACTCCTCATAAATTATATCATTTAACCTTTACCAAAACTCCTGGAGTTAAAATATTCTTCAGCTATATAATTTACAAAATGTAGCTTAGAAAGGTACTTAATGTCCCCCAAGTCATATAACTAAAGCAAGATAGATTAATGTCTATATACTTTTCTCACAGGTTTCCAAACTGCATACTCTTTTCACATCTGACCTGTTTAATAACTGATCATATAAGAGAAAATATGGGAGTTTATAAAAAGGAAACTAAAGAAGAGGACATTTGAAGAAAGAAAATTGAAGAGAATTATCTTCTGCAAGGAAATATATATATTTTTTACTATTATCTAAGTCTTAATTTTTTAACCAAAGTATGAAACAAACAAAACAACCTTCTAAGTGCAATGAACATATAATGTTCTCTCCTGGGCTTTTGCAAACGGAGCACATGTTTTAAAGAAGTTGAAAGAACATTGGCCAAGACGGAGCCCTCTGTCTTTCTTCCCTCCCTCTCTCCCTCTTTCCTCTCTTACTTCCCTCATTCACAAATTAACTCATTCATTCTTTAGTGTATACATTTTTTTTTTCAGATCTGGTCAGCTTATAAACTGTATCAAGGGAAGTAGTAGACAATGAGTGTGGAAAGGCAGATCTGAGTTCAAAAATCACGCTTTCAGGTAGGTGAGCAAACACTAGGCAATGAAGCTAAATTAATACAGCAGCAAACTTCTATGCTCATGGCGGGTTTAGGGAAGACTCCCAGAAGGCAGGAGTGAGCTGAGATGTGCCACAGGGTTAAGAACTGCCAAACTGAGGACACACAATTCACCAGGTATAGTCTAAGGAGAAATTGGTGATTTCCACTCTACTCCATTAAATTGCACTATTCCCAAAGCAAGAAACTTGGTCATCTTCATTTTATTGCAAGAGTATGACAAGATTAGGGACCCTACCTGACTATTCATTACTGACCTCCGCTTATCTAGGCCAGTTTCTGATACAATGTAGTCTCTTCATACTTAAATATTGAGCAAAACTCTGGTCTCAAAAGATCACGTGCTCAAGATATTTTTGAGATCAGGACAAAAAAAAAAAACGGGAAAAGGGAAAGAAATTGAGATGCTATAGTTACAAAAATCAAACTGCACCTTCTGATTAATTATGCCAAATACCATTAGTATTCGGAGGCTGAGGTTAATGACCAGGGAGGGTTAAATCACCAAAGTCACCTTTTCAGTAAGAAACCAAGACTGGAGCTCTGTGATTCTAAAGCCCTTGCCCTGGACGGTGTATAAAATCCAAGTTTGCAAACATTCCCTAAGGCTAAACATCAGAATACATAACTAGGCATAGCACCAACTTGGAAATTCACTTGAAGGGCAACAGAAGCACTTGCTTTACGAAAGTGCACAAGTAGGTTAACAGTAGGAGAATTCACTAGATCACTTCTTTACCCATTCCATGCTTTATCTGCTCATTAACTCCTGTTGACTTCCACCCAGAAAGTCAAGATTTTATGTTCTTTTTCTAGGACCAAGCTCCAGCCTCATCAATTACTTAGTGTCCTCCTAATGTTGTCTCAGGGTCTGACTCACACATCGGCCGTACTCGTGTTGGGGACAGAGCAGATGCAGACGCCTGGTGCGTTTCCAGTTCGAGGGATGAAGACACCATTGAGGCTACATAGTGTGAACTTGACAGTGTCTTGCAAGATAAGGAGAATGGCAGAAACCACAGCAATCTCAGATCAGGTGAGCTGAACTTGAAGTCCAGGGCGACAGTGCAGGCTCACGTAATGATTAATAATGCGGACTAGAGGCAGCTCTTAATTTGAATCCCTATTTTGTCACTGCCTACTGGTTAGACATGGCGCCAGTTATTTCTCTTCCCTCAGTGTCATGTCATTTTCTTTGGTAATTGACACAATGGTGATGATAATGGAGATACAGATCTTATATCATAAAATTGTATCATCATTAAATGAGATGATCCATAGGTGATTCTATAGTACTGAAAGAAGACTTGTTATCATCTTTGACTAAGTCACAGGCATGCATTGTAATAAATGCTTTTTGTAATTAAATGCATTAATTAATATTTAGTAAATAATAACATCCTGATCTAATAATAATTACCCTTTTACAACATGTATAACAACCACACTTATAGCTTCCCTTTCCTTCTCTGATGCCCAGTTGGGGATCATGTCTCTAAATATTGACCAGTCTCAACAGACACTGTGAATATAATCAGTCCTGTTTGCCTCGTTGACATTTATTGAATTTGTTTTTCTTTCTTTTTTAAAAAATTGCATTTTAGGTTTTGCGGTATATGTGAGGAACATGAAAGATTGTTGCGTAGGTACACACATGGCTGTGTGATTTGCTGCCTTCCTCCCCATTACCTATATCAGGCATTTCTCCCCATGCTCTCTCTCCCCACCTCCCCACCCCCTGCTGTCCCTCCCCTATTTCTCCCTACAGACCTCAGTGTGCTCGTCTTTCAAAGGATGAGAAGAGGTCCAGGAAGTGCTGAATCCAGAGTAAGACCATGTCGACTAGACATAGGTCAGCTCAGCACCTTCTGCAGGAAGGTCCCACTGCTTTCTGTTTGGGTCTTATGTCTTCTTTCCTTTTCATTGTCTGTGATACTTTTTATTTGTTTTACATATTATTGCACTGACCAGAATGTCTGGAACCTACTGAATAGCTGCAATAGCCAACATTCTTTCTTGCATTCCACGATTAGGCACGATGCTATTTAAGATAAATTTAGAAAGAGTGTATTTTCCTTTTTCTAATTTCCTATACATATTTTATTTTATTACCTGCTTTTGTAATAATTTCAACACTTATTTCAGAATCAGGGAGTACACGTGGAGGTTTGTTACCTGGGTGTATTGCATGAAAATGAAGTGTGCGGTATGACTGATCTTGTCACCTAGAAACTGAGCAATTGTTTTTCAACCCTCATCCTCCTCCCTCCCTGCTAGTAGTCACTAATGTCTATTGTGTCCACTTTTATGTCCACAAGTCCCCACAGTTTAGCCCCATTTATTAGTGAGAACATGTGGTATTTGGTTTCCTGTGCCTGCATTAATTTTCTTAGCATAGTGCTTCCAGCTTTATCCTTCTTGCTGCAAAGAACATGGCTTCATTCCTTTGCGTGGCTCTGCAGATTATATTTTTAATGCTTTTCTTGAGTCACATTGACTTCAAATGCATATTAGAAACTTATATTTTCCTTTTTCTTTCTTTCTGGATGTTTCTGTCTCAATACTTTGAGCTTTTTCAGAGATGTCTACCACCAAATGAATGATTCATGACATAGTATGTATTGGCTTTAAGAGCTTGGATGAGACTATGAAACTGGATATGAAGATGAGGGTTATATATTTATAACCTTCTAGAGGAAAAAACTCCTAATTCCATCACCAACAGCAACTGGTACATAGCAAGTACTCAAATAAATGCTTGTTGAAGTGACAAGGTAAGCATCAGATGGCTGTTCTGACTTGCACATGGCAAGGCAGAGCTGAGAATTAGCACAGAGACCTAAGGGAGATGATCCACCTCCATCATTCTCACTGTGCTGATTGGTGTTTATTGTACTATATCAAGTCAATTTGTTGTTTAGATGGTTCCTTCTGGGAAAAAATGTATGAGGAAAGAAAACTTTACTGCCTGTTTAATAGACAAAAATTAAGCCATTGAGAAAATAAACCAGTTTTCCAAGATCAAATGTGGACATTTTTATGGGGGCTCTACTTTTTACTCTGTGAAATTTGAAATATCTTGATTTTTAATATCAAAGTGAATAGCATTTCCAGCCCCCCCCCCTTTTTTTTTGGCTCAGATGTAACATTCTCATATTACAAAAGAAAAAAAAATCTTAAAAAGGCATATGAGTTTAGTCATGAAATGGAATTACCAACTCATTCCAAACCTGTACGTCTCTTTGATTGACTGCTTGATGGTAAGAAGCCACCTTGTGAGCCCCTATCTATAGAAACAGTCAAAGACAATAGTTTCCAATAGACTTGCACCAGAGAATCACTTAGGGTCTTAATGGATTATTGTATCTATCGATCTTCCTTTTTCCCCCTAAAGTAGTCATAGAATTATTATTTGTAGATTGTTGTTATTGAGAGGACTTTGAGAATTGTGTAGTCCAATCTTCTCACTTTTTTTGATAAATCAGTCAAAATCCAGAAAGACTAATTATATTACCTGTGATTTCACAGCTACTTAGTGAGAAGGAGACACCAAGCTTCTAGCTGAGCAGTCTCGAATACAGCACAATGTCTTCAGAAAAATACACTCTAGTGTTACAGGTGACCTCTCTGTGACTTTCCTTGTGAAAAGCAAGCCATTTGGTAGTATCAAATATGTCTTTTTCTGTTGATTTTCTAACTTTTCTCCCTTAGATTCACTCTGTTATTGAGGGAATATCTAAAGTTGGAAACAATTTTCTATAACTAGTGATTTATAAAAATAGAACAGAATGATACCTCAATCCCCCTCTCAACAAAGAATATTTCCTGAAGTTGGAAAAATGATTTTTTAAAATTACTTAAGCCCCTCAATTATAGTTTTCATAAGAAAATCACTGTAAGTTTGAAAGAGGGTGAGGAACAGTCATGCACACACACACACACATATCCTTATTAAGATACTAGAGTGTGCTCAAAGATTTGGCTGAAATCATTGAATTTGTGAGAATAAAAGTCACGTTACAATCATATGAAAGATATATAATAAAGAAGATTTAAATTTTACATTATCATCGCATTAATGTGATTATCGCACAGGTAGGATAAAATAGTACAACATAATGCATTTAATAATTTCAAACATTCAAAAGGAAAAACAAATATATATTGGCATAAAATAAAAAACTAAAATTTGTATTTATATGACATACTTAAGATTATATTTCTTTCATAAATATTAACTTATTGGATACCTCCAAGAATTTGGAGTTTAGGTAAAGAATGTGTTAATATTACCTTTCCAGATGATTTGTAGCTCAGACAGATTGGCTTAGCCCAAATCACATAGCAAGTAAGTGAGGCTTCGGATCATCCAGAATGAATCCAGCATTCTTACCCCAGATCTGACTGGTTCCTGGAGGAAGAGGAAGTATCGATGTGGGAGACTTAGGTTGCGGAAATGATGACAGATGAAAATGTGGGGAAGAAAAAGGAATAAATGATTTTGAAAGGTGAAGATTAGTGACATAATTAGTGACATAAATAAAACTGATCTTAATTTGTTCACAAACTTCTGACTTGATAAGGAGAAAATAAAATCCAAAATCAACCCATGCTGACTATATATCAGGAAGTCCATTTGATATTGAAAACCCAAAAACGATTAAAACACGGACTTCACTTTACTGGTGCTCACAGATCAGAAATTGAGTTTTAGTCCCCCCCGCAAAAAAAAACTTGAAACATGAGTTATAACAAGAAATACTTTAAATACGAGATGCCTTCGGTTAAAAAGGAATGTGGTCAGTATTAAATATTAAAAGAACAATGTAAAAATACTTGTATGCCAAAAATGTTAATTATCTGTTGAATCTGATTTTTTAAAGAAAACAAATATGTTATTCTAAAACAGTTGATTTTATACAAATTTAAATTAAGTGATCATTCGAATATTTGACTTGTAAATTATACAAATAATATGGACTTTCTGATCTAAGAAAAAAAAACCCTTAGTTTATGTAATATCAGATTTTCCTTATGCAGATATCAGACAACTACAGCTTCTGAACATAAGCACACACATGCATATTTCCATACATTGATATACAGTTATAGCTATCAGAAGGATATAAGGAAATTTTCAGCCTTCACATCAAGTAAGTTGCTTTTCAGTTTTATTAAATATTGGAGGCAATTAAGAAGATTTTAAAAATTATTTATGTAAGAGTTCATGTTATAATATAAATATTATAGTTTAGAATAATTTAAAAATAGACTTATTTTTTCTGCATATATATAGCCATTTAAAAATGAAAACCAGAATTATAAAGCTTTATTAAAATTCAAGTTAATATTTTTATATTTTCATGAATTAGAAATTTTTTTGAAAACATACTTTTAACAATTTATGTAACACAAGTGTACACCCAATAGTGTTACTAACAGTGTTTTCCTGATCTTAACAGAGAGGTGAGCACTAACAGAGTGGTACGAGGAAGGGTCTTGGCAAACCTGGATGGAAGGAAGCCTGTGTGTGGCGTGTGGGGAGGGGCTGTCAATGTGGGAGCAGAATGTGGACACAGCAGAGCTCAAGCGTGGGACAAATGAGGATGAAGTGGCTCCGCCGTGCAGGCTGCTGGACCCTGAACACGGCTGGGAACTCTACAGCTTGTGAAGCAGAAACTCTGAATCCCAGGGCCTACTGGTTAATTGTTAATCAGCTAGATTAAAAAAAAATTATAAATTTCAGTTCCTTGCCTACAATCTTTAATCTAAATCTCTGACTTTTGTCTTCACTTCTCTCTCTCTCTCTCTCTCTCTCTCCTCTCTCTCTCTTTCTCTCTCTCTCTTTTTCTATTTTTTTTGAGAGGGAGTCTTGCTCTGTCACCCAGGCTGGAGTTCAGTGTCATGATGTCAGCTCACTGCAGCCTTCCCCTCCTAGGTTCAAGAGATGCTCCTGCCTCAGCCTCCTGAGTAGCTGAGATTACAGGTGCCCGCCACCACACCCAACAAAGTTTTTGTTCGTTTGTTTGTTTGTATTTTTAGAAGAGATAGGGTTACACCATATTGGCCAGGCTGGTCTCAAACTCCTGACCTCAGCTGAGTTGATCCACCCACCTTGGCCTCCCAAAGTGCTGTGATTGCAGGTGTGAGTCACCGCTCCTGGCCTTGTCTTCACTTCTTTTACATAAGTTCTTATTGCCTGCCCCTGAGAAGTTACCTAACATGCCTGGATCTGTTCCCTCATCCATATAATAAATTTCATAATTATGAACACAAGTATTTTAATATATGTATAATTCCTATATAGCTATCAACTATAGCTAGTTTAATATATAACATTCAATCTAAAATAAATTGTCTTCAAATATAGTAACTACAGCAGTTTGCCTACTGTGTTTCATAAATGATCTGATAATTATTGATTGCAATAACCGTGATCAATAATTATTTTAGTTTGTTAAGTAAAGATATAATTTGACAGCTTCTCTCTGCCTTTCTTTAACCCATCTTAAAACCAGAGAGCCATGCTTCATTATTCACAGGGCCTATTGCCAGAAGAATAAAAGTACATCTGATAATTATTGCTTTTACAAAATCCGTGCCTGAGTGGCTAGCACTCAATGAGTGCATGTCCTCAACACTCAACCTTTTGCAAAAAGCTTTGCATGATAGGTGAATGGCTTTTAGGCAGAGATGAGATGATGCATAAAGAACAGAAATCTATTATAGATTTTCTATTAAAATTAGTAAGTCAAATAAGTCATGGTCATTCCAAGCTCTTAGGTAAGAGTGGAGCAAATGTATTCCTAGTGACTTTTTGGAGGACTCTCCCTCCTGTGGTTCATGCTGATTCTAAATTGCCTGAGAGTAAGCTGGAGACAGCACTGCACAATAACCCCACATGTAATGTGCTGATAATTAAATCCCTCTGACAATTACATCATGCATTAGCAGGCTCACCCCCATCCATTACTCATCATGATCACTGTCTTGGACAAAACAAAATGGGCACACCAGGGACCATTGGTAGAGCAGATGCTCCTATGGAAGAGGGTGGCCAAATTCTGTTTACGTAATGTGATCCAAGCCAGGCCAACGCAAGGGCTCCCTTCACCCTCCCCAGTGAGCACCAAGTCCGCAGAGATGATAACACCCAATCTCTGCCACCTGCCAGGCCTGCTCTCATTGCCAGTCTAAAAAAGTACATGGTAAAGGGCAAACAGCATGGATGGCACCAGCATATTCCAGAGAGACTTCTGGTGACTTTGAGAAAGGCAGCAATGATCTCGTACTCAACCTCACAGAGCAAGTTTCTCCATTTAGAAAGAGCCAAACTGTTTTTTAGTTGATGGGTTGAAGTGTTACTCTCTATTTGATCACATAAAGATCATTCTGAAATGGCAAAAGATAAATTGTTACATAATTACAATCTTAAATTTTAACTGTCTCCAAAATAGAATATTTTATGTGTACATGCAACACACACACACACACACACACACACACACACAGTTTTGAAGTTTCAAATGTCCGTGTATTTAACACAAGAAGTTAAGACATTTCCTCAAAATTTCTGCAGGCGACATGAGTAACAACAATTTAATATTTACCAGATACATCCAAAACTGCTAATATTGTAATTAATAAGAATTCAAATAACCAACATGGTCGATTATGCAAAATGGTTTTTTCTTGCAATAGACTTTTAATGTAAGAAAGAAAATAACAAGAGATTATCAGATATTCATATTAAAAATCAGCAAGATCCGAGCTGATTTTTCAAAGTCAAGTTTATCCTGGGGTCATTAACCTTTTGTTTTGATCTACGTATTCAGTGTACTCGTTGTTTTTTTTTTTTTTTGAATAAATAGCAGAGCAGTGACTTTGAAGTTTTTCTAAGGAGGGCTGGCGTTCTACCAGTGTGTACTTACAGGATGAAACAGGTTATTCTGTACGTATACTATCAAACCACGGTCTATTCTGATTGGCTGTGTGTCTGCTTCACTGATATTCCAATATTTTGGCTATTATTTCTGCTTCTCAGCTACAATGAACGTGTAATAATTTACTCATGTTTATTATAATCTATTAGCTCAGCAAAGGATGTAAACTGATATTTTAAAAATTGTTTTGAAGACAAGCATGGAACACCAAGAGCTTAAATCCATGAGAGAAGTCACCGAACTGTGGGAGAGGAGGCAGGCAATCGCTGAAACAGCATGTTCCCGTGGGCCTTACACAGAAGTGCATGGGCAGCCATCTGTCTGTCTGCAGACCTGCTCCCTGGGAAGCTCTTGCTCTGGTCTGACTCCTGGAGACTAAGCTGGTCCCCTTCTGAGTGAAGCAAGGAGAATATACTAATTATGCACTTGGCTATGGGGTCAGACTAACATGATTTCAAAATCTGGCCCCATGATTTCCTAACTGTGTGACCTAGGCTCATTTTTGACCCTTTCTGCACCATGTCTGCTTCTTTTTGCATTGCTCAAGACTGTAAGGCTCCGATGCTGTAATAAACAAACCTCAGAACCCTGGTGACTTAACACAATACATGTTTACTTCTTATTTGCCTAAAGTTCAAAGTGGGTCAGAAGACTCCATGAGTACCTAACTTCTGCATCGTAAAGTTGAGATCCAGGTTGCCTCCATCAAAAGATGTCACTGCATGGCCAGGTGCAGTGGCTCACCTAATCCCAGAATTTTGGGAGGCCAAGGAGGGCAGATCACTTGAGGTCAGTAGTTCGAGATCACCCTGGCCAACATGGTGAAACCCCACCTATATTAAAAATACAAAAAAATTAGCCTAGTGTGGTGGTGGGGGCCTGGAATTCCAGCTACTTGGGAGGCTGAGGCAGGAGAATCACTTGAACTCAGGAGGCAGAGGGTGCAGTGAACTGAGAACACGCCACTGCACTCCAGCCTGAGAGACAATTGAGACTCCATCTCAAAGAAAAAAAAAAAGAAATGCTATTGCACATCACATGAGAATTTTGCACTTGTTCTTGGTTGCCTGTGACTAGAAATGACACACAGCTTCTCTTCTTAATCAGACAGAACTATTCCAATGGCCACAAAGAAACTCTAAGTGAAGCTAGTTGGCTAGTCCACATGTGCAGAAAATACAGAAGGACCAAATATCGGGAGCGTTAGTAATCTTCACACAATACTTCATAGAGGAAAACTTTAAAAAGTAGTATTTTCTGAAGCTGTTGGTATACCACTTCACAGTAAGTGTGCAAGAAGTGATCATTTTCATTATCCTGTAGCATTTTATTTTCAGTATTATTTTGTGATTCAAATGCACAGGAGACTCATTTATCAATCCCGTCCCTCCATTGCCTATGAGGACTTCTTTGCCTTTCCAGGATCCCCTTTGGACTGCTAGGGCCAGGTGAAGATCAGGCTGTCTTCCTGTCTTCTGGGGAGACGGTTGTGAGTTTAGCAGGCTACCTTTCCTGCTGCCTGACAAGACCAAGCCAAATGGTAAAATAGGTGATGTTTTCTACCTCCCTTTTAGTTCACACTTCTGACATTGGTAGGTATTCTGGTGACCTGATTTTATTCCAAACCTCCTGGGATCTGACACTTGTGATTGCCTCCTGGCTTGTTTGTTTCATCCCATCTCCTCCACAGAAATCCAACCTGGACTCCAAGTGTGGCTTCCCACAGGGCTGAGAAGCAGGGTGTGCTAATACAAATTTGGAGAAGCCTGAGGCAAAGCACATGGAATTTAATTTTAAACTAGGGAAAAAGAATCACTGTCAAATACCATATAAGGAAGATTGTATTGAGTTACAGAAGGTGGTCTAGGTAACACATGATCAGATGCATTACGAGAGAAGAGTGGGGAGAAGGAAAGCAGAGAGAGCCGAATCTGAATGGCTGTGTACTGTGTTTTAACCTATGCCCTAGTCCCTGCTAGCCTTAAGACTGACTTAACCTCTACTCTAATAGTTTCTGATTAGATTGCTGGCAGACTTTATTATAACGGCAACCAATGTCTAAACCTTCTCTTTTCTCGTTGGCTCGTACTTAGATAGGCCTGTGTTACTTCAAGAAAACATGACAAGTTGGTAAGAGAACAATCTAGATGCCAACTGATGGGTCTTTTAGAATTCCAGAAAAGCAAGAAAAATGAAAGAAAAGAAAAAAATAATAAGAACAAGAAAGAAAGCATGAAAGGAGGAAGGGAAGGGAAGAACTCCAACCTTGTAGGCAGCAATGTTCTTTCCATATGTTTGATTAATTTTATGTCTGGTCCTGCAAGTATGCCCAATTGCTTAGAGCAAATACTTCTTCCTTCTTGACCATGGAGGCCAAAAAGAAACCCTGAGAATTGTGAGTCAATAATAAGCTATATAAATATTTAGGATTCATTTGCTTGTTTGCCAGTTGTATTAGTAGGGTTTCACAGTGCTATAAAGAGATACCCGAGACTGGGTAATTTATAAAAGAGAGAAGTTTAATTGATTCACAGTTCCATATGGCTAGGGAGGCTTCAGGAAACTTACACTCATGACAGAAGGTAAAGTAGGCACATGGTGGCAGAAGATAGTGAGAGCAAAGGGGGAAGAATCCCCCGTTGAATTACCCCTAAAAGGGTTTCACTCTGTCACTCAATCTGGAGTGCAGTGGCCCTTTGAGGCTCAGAGCAGTCTCAAACTCCTGGGTTCAAGTGATTCTTAGCCT